TAACCCTTGCAAATCTTCCAAACCGTGCCCAAGGAGAGTGCTTAAGTCCATATAGAGCCTTCTTCAAATTACACACGGTGTGAGCATCCAAGTTCTTATTATAACCTGGTGGAACCTCGATATAAATCTCTTCCTCTAGATCCCTATGTAAGAATGCATTTTTAACATTAAATTGTTTCAGATCTCATCCATAGTTGGCAGGAAGCGCAAGCAAGACTCTTATTGTATTCATTTTTGAATCATGAGCAAAAATCTCTAGATAATCAATCCCATAAGTCAGTGAATATCCTTTCGCCAGAAATCACACCTTATATCGTTTAATTTCCCATCCGCCTAGTATTTGACTATATACACCCATCTACAACTCACCAGCTTTTTTTCCACTAAGTAACCTTACCAATTCCCAGGTTTTGTTCTTTTCCAATGCTCCCATTTCTATATCCATAGCTTGAGAAACACTAGTAGGGATAGTGATGGTGTTTAGCTTAGCAAGAAAGGTTATGTGAGATGCTGAAAATTTCTTGAAAAATAGGTATTGAGCTAGAGTATACAAAGGCCTGTTCTACACTCTCTGGTTTCTTTCTAACATCAATGGGTAAATTCAAGTCATCACCAACAGACGGTTCACCTTTTGTTCCAGACATGGTAATGGATTGAGAAATATTATTACTTCAACATTTATGAGTTCGGATCAGAATTTATTACCTCAGTTAATGGTTTTGGGTTAGACTTTTGGATTCCTACTGGTTCTGGGACAGCCTTTTTTCCCTCCGTTTTGTATTTCTTTGCACACCTCATGTGTTAATCAAGTCCTTTAGCAATATCAGGAGCAACAGATTCAGACAAAGGAACAACAGCAAGAGCAAATCTAGGCAAAGGAAGAAGTAGGAGTAGGTTCAAGCAAAACAGGACTGCTATCGGGACTAGTGGTGAGATTAAGAGGATCTAGAAAAAAAACTTCTTAATCTTTATCTTCCTAAATTGGGTTCTCCCCTCAAAGATAAGATCTAGTACAATAAGATTGTTTCTCATTGAATGTGACATCTATTGACACAAAGAATTTCTTGGATGGAGGTGATAACATTTGTATCCTTTTTTAGTGGAAGAGTACCCTACAAAGATACATTTTTGGCTCTAGGATCCAATTTTCTCTTGTTTGGACCATGTATATGAACAAAAGGCACACACCCAAAGACTCTTGGAACAAGATTATTTGTGGTTCTTAAGTCGGGATAAAAGGATGAGAGAACTTCCATTGGAGTTTTGTGGTGCAAGACATGAGAAGGCAAATGATTTATGAGATGTGTGGCTGTAAGAACTACTTCTCCCCAAAAGGTTTTAGGTACACCATTCTGAAACAACACTGCTCGAGTCTTCTCGAGGAGGTCACCATTTTTCCTCTCTGCTACTTCATTTTGTTATGGAGTACTCATGAATAATCCCATTATTTTGAAAGTAATGAATGAGGACTTGGTTTAAATAATCATTGGCATTGTTCGACCTAAATCTCTTGACACGGATCCCAAATTGATTTTTGACCATTAAGCAAAAATTTAAGAACAGTACTAAGATCATACTTGGACTACAAGAGGAACAATCAAGTGACACGGGACAAACCATCGTGCTCCAGAGACACTAAGAATAGTAGAAGGACCCCATATACGGTGAAAAGGAACATAATTTCTTTTATTACTAATGAGAAAAGACACTCGCTTATGTTTGGCGAGTTCACACACATCACAATGAAATTCCTTAACGCTTATATCCTAAAACAAGGTGGAAAACAAGACCTTAACAACCCTAAATGATGGATGTCCTAAACGATGATGGTAAAGATAATTATCTCTCTATTGGATGAACTTTTTGATATTAGACCCTTACTCTGGACGAGGTTCAGCTGTCTTGGCATCTCAAGGTAATAAAGGTTGTCCCTTACTTTATCACGTCCAATCGTCCTCCCCGAAACCTTGTCTTGAAACACTCAACAACCACTATAAAAAACCACATTGCATGATAGATCTTGGGTAAGTTGTTGTATAGAAACAAGATTGGGGGATAATTTGGGGACATGAAAGACATTTTTAAGGGTCATTGTAGGGTTTATTAGAACATCTCCTACTCCTGCAACAGTTGTTAGAGATCCATCAGTTGTGACTATATTCCAGCTACTAGGACATAGGGTGTAGGTTGAAAAGTATTTAGATGAGTGGGTCATATGATTAGTGGCTCCGAAGTCCATGATCCAAGAATTGGTAAATAGTGTGTCTGAAGCATTTGATCCAATGGAAATAAGAAACATATCTGAATACACCAATGATTAGGTACCTAAAGGCTTCTTAAGACGGTTGATTAGAGACCTTAACCTCTCAATTTCCTCCTGATTAAGGCCATTTGGCTCTTCACTTTTTGGTGCAGCAGCGATGTGTACTTGTCCAGCATGATTTAGGGGCCCTTTATTCCTTGATTGGTCTCATTTTTTATTCCACTCTCGGCTTGAGGGCTTTCCATGAAGCTTCCAACATTTCACTCGATTATCCCAAGGTTTTTCGCAATAAGTACAAAACAACCTGTCGCGATTTTGTAACTCATTTGGCACTATTCATTTTTAATAAAATATCACATCAAATACATTTTTTCTTTCACAAAATATCAAATCAAATACTAACTTTTACTTTTTTCTAAACTTAAAAAATTCCAAAAGTCTCCATAAACTCATGTCTAAACGGAGCCTTAGGTTGATTACTCCTCATTGCTTCAAGGGCTACTCTTTTTTTCAGGTCTAAGACAGTTTTGGTATCACTAGCCACCATAGCCATGTTATCAACACTTTGTGGTTCCAACATCACAGACCTATTTTCTGTTTACCAAGGGTTTGGACTCTCACTTGATCAAGTTGTGGATTCATAGCACATAAAAAATCATAAAGGCTGTCTTTCTCAATAAAATCCTTTAGAACTGCTGCGTCTACGGAGCACTTGGTGTTTATTACCCTATAACGGTCAAGTTCCTACCACAATGATTTTAATTGTTTGGCATACTCACGTTATAGTTTTCGTCCCTTGTTTTGCTGCCATCGTCTTCATCTTGACTTCATACACCTGAGTTGCATCTTTTAGACTTGGAATAAGTTTCTCGAATAGCATCCTAGACATCCTTGGCACTGTTCAAGAACATGCAAGTATCGCTAATTTCTGGGATTATAGAATTCCATAACCAAGCCATTATCATAGAGTCTTCTTCATCCCACGCTTCAAATTTGGGATCTTCCTTCTTTGGTCATGTCCCAATAAAATGACTAATTTTTCTCTTTCCTTTCAATGTTGCTTGGACGAGTTGAGACCATTTGAGGTAGTTTTTTCCATTTAGTCTATAAGCAGACTGAATGCCTTTCACCGGCATGTTGGACTCGAATTTCCTCCCCGGACTGTGCAGTCTCTGTTAGGTCTGACATATTATAACTTGCAGCCTCCGGTGATTAGGACTACTAAACTTTGAGAAATAGTACAAAACACTCGGCAATTAAGGCTGGTTGAACAGAGGAAAGAAAACTTAGTAGAAAGAGCTGCTCTAGTACCATCTCAGATTTTGAATAGAAAAATCAAATGAAGAAGAAGATTAATTCTATAAAAAAAACTGTCATCTTTACATACAAGGATATGAAGACTTATATGCGAAAAATCCTAATAAAAATAGAAGGAAACTATCCTATATCTTATTCCATGAATCATGGGATCATCCTCTATCTTACCTCATGAAACCATGGGATCTCTAGCTGTACAAAGGAAACAAGATATCTTTTTCCTAAAATAAATTGATTCTCATATTTTTCCAGTAGGGCTGCATCAGTAGGAGGATCGAAGTAAGATAGGAAGCCTTTTTTTATCCTCTAAAAGAATTCAAAGTTCTTAGACCACAATTGATAATTTTTTCCATTTAGGCAGTGCTTTGTAATCCTGAGATTACTAATCTCAAATAAATAGTGAAATAAAATTTCTACTGGCAGCAGCTGCCATGGTACAAACCAGGGGTAAAGGACAGAGCAATACATAAGTCTGGAAGCTGCGCAGAAAGCAATGTCCCATAATTGAGAATAAAAAATGGTAAATTAATGAACACTTCAAGGAAATCTCCTGAAATGACCCAAATCGATAGAATAGTAAACCAATTGGGAAAGTAAGGAATGGCTGCAACACAGAGAGAAACAGGCAGACAGAGGGGTAGTGGGGCATGGTGAGAATGACTGCGGCATATGGTAATCAACTACAAATAATCCTGGTTGGCGACTTTGGATAACAATTACACAGGTTGAAATTGGGTTGACCTGCTCTAATACTACATTGAGATTGATGTCATTGGAAGAAAAAATAATTGTATATTGAGATGATTCCTCCTTCATGGAGATTACAAGATATGTATAAAAAGAAACGATAGGAAATAAAGAAACACAAATCATACAATTACAACTAATGTAAACAGTAATATAATCATGGATTAGCATACTAATTTAGCACCAATCCTAGGCATTAATCTTGCTAGTAACTAACATCCGCTAACAATAGCACAAAGAGTCCATCATTTGAAAAAAAATTAGTTGGTGCAAGAGTGATGGAATGAAGATGTTGTCCATGAGATTTGATTATAAATGATTCATCAATGATGTGATTTGGTCAGAGATCCTACTAATGAAATATAGACATATAATTATTACTAATTAGTTTGTCTATTTGTATTCCCGAAAAATTCATGGGAGTTGATCAATGGAAAAGTGCTCTCGTATGTACATTATTCACCAAATTGAAGAAACCAACTCTCATATGCATTGTTTGGGCTTTTAGTTTCTACGACATTTTATATGCTTAAAACTAGCTTCCAAAAAAACTCGAGCAATGCCAATTTTAAAAAAAAAAACAATGTAGTTAGTAAGACTCCCTTATAACGTTAGAAGTACAATATATAAATAAAAAATATAAAACCATCAAGTGGTAGTTTAAACAACTCACCGTAATTCCACTACTTTGCAAAATACATTTGTTGCACCAGCATAATCTCCAAGCTTAGCAAGAAGCCTCCCCTATCAACATTAATATTACCATAACTTTACAATACGCATTACAAAATCAAGGTCAACAAAAGTTCACGTGCAATGTGAATACTATATGCACACTATTGTACAAATGATGTTTACACAAAAGTCATTTCTCCATTATCTTTTCTTGTTTTTCTCCAAGTTTGTTTGGATTGTGTTTGGTTTTGGGTTTTATTTTTGCTTTACATAATGATTGCATAAGAGCAAGTAATATATCCCTATTAGGACTTGTAAAAGTTTCATTGTAAAGAAAGTAAGGTGGAAATCAATACAAATAAGGAAAAGGAAATAAACTATTAAAATTCTTCCTGAACCAGAACTGCAAACAAGGAGGTCGGCCTGGTGATCGTACCTTACGGAGGATGTAACGCTCATTGTGGTAATCATTGCAGTTCAGTTAGTGTTCATGTTGTTGTAGGATGGGGATTTGTGATGTGTAAAACTTGCTCAAATCCTATTTGATGTTATGGAATGACTTAAGTTGAAACCCCCTAGATATAGGGCTTGTTAATTATCAAATGGGTTAATAAATTGATTTGTTCCATACTAATATTACACTATTTTAGTATGTATGTATTCATTGATTTTTTAACCAACGCACAAACGATTTGTCTGCCTTCCTACACACTTTAGTGTTTTATCCTCTGCATAAGTTTTTGTACCCATAATTGGTTTGCATGCTTGATGCGCTAATCATAAATCATATAAGAAACAACTCATATAAATTTAGATTTTAATTCTCTAAATTTTTAATTTGTACTTATAAAAATATAGCATTCCTTTATGGATTCATTCATGGATATAGTTCCCAGAGGTGAGCCCTATCATACAGGTTGCCATTGTTATGTAAATCACAAATTTAAAATTTTAGCTATATATCATAGGATGTGTTTGCCAATGTTTTGTCTCGCTTACTCTATTTCAGTATGGGTTTTTGTAATTGGAATCTTTTTGAGATTGTTCGTGCTTTGTTGTTTCAGATAAAAGTCCCTAAGATGTTCTGGGCGGATGATGTTTCTATGGCATGTGTCTTTATTAATCGTCTGTCATCATCAGTCTTGGGGGGTAAGATGTCTTATCAAACTCTCTTTCCGTCAAAATCCTTCAATTCCTTATAAAATCTTTCGGTGTCTATGCTATGTTCGGGATGTTGGGCCACACATTACTAAACTCGATCCTGGGTTTCATAGGTGTCTCTTCCTTGAGTACTCTCGGGTTCAAAAGGATTATCGGTGTTACTATCTAGATCTTAACCGCTACATTGTCTTATCTAATGTCGTTTTCTTTGAGGCCACTAGTTTTTGTTGGCTCTAGTACCCTTACACCCTTTCCAGATGATAATTGGGTAATTTATATTATATCTCCGTCTCAAGCTCCATAAGCCTATTCATTTCCCGCATGTTTACTCCCATCGTCCCAGGTCCTCTTTGCCATGTCTTTCACCAAGTTCTTCGTTTGCAGCTCCCGATCCTCCTTTGGAGTCTGTTGATTCTCCGCCCACATCTCCCAAAGCTATTGAGGACCTCCCATTGCTCTTCGAAAAGGTAAACGTCAGTGTGCCCATTCCATTGCCTCAGTTATTTCTAGTGACCACTTATTGCATCGATCATATTTGTTTGTTTCCGCTCTTAACTCTATATCTATTCCTAAATCTTTTTCCGAGGCCTTCTCATTCTAGTTGGCGTGTTGATATGATTGATGAGATAAATGCACTAGACTCTAACGACATGTAGGAGTTGGTCCCTTTACTGGAAGGGAACAATTGATTGGTTGCAAGTGGGTCTATGCAGTTAAGTAACTCCGATGGTTCTATTGCTCCCCTTAAGGCGCGACTTGTGCCTAAGGGCTATGCTCAAACTTACGGTGTGAACTATTCTGTGACTTTTTCTCAGGTAGCCAAGTTGACTTATGTTTGTAGTTTGATCTATTTAGTTGCACACATAATTGGCCATTGATGCGTTTTATATTCATATCATATGCGATATTTGGGTGATTTTGATTGAATTCTACCTAATTTATATGCGAATTGTCTATTTGCTGTGTGCAGTGGACAAATATTAAATTTGGCATAATTGGTAGAAAAAAGAAATAAAATTAATTAAAGGCCCAAAAGCCCATCTACAAAATAATTAGGGCAAATATCAAATAAGAAGAAAAACACACGCCTATTGCCAAGGGGAGAACGGTTAGGGCAGAAACGCACAGGAGCAAGAGATTGACAGATCATAGATAGCGCAGGAGTAAATCGACAGAGAAGATTTCCCCCTCCCACTATGACTTCATCTTTCTCTTTTATTCTTTGTTATTTGATTATGGAGTAAATAATTTTCTGGTTTAAGGGGTGATAATGTTTTGGTTCTTTTGTTTTGAAGATTCTTGATTTTCTTTATAAAAGTTCTTTTTTATTATCAATATTTGTCTAATTCTTATAATAACGTTTGTGATTGTTAGATTGATTGAATATTTTGGTACCGATATTTAAATTAGTCTGATAATCTAAAGTCAATTCAGGTAGGATATCCGTAATTGTATTCGCACTTGAATAGGTGATAACCGGGTTGAATAGTTCCTTCCGGGGGTTAGACAATCAAATCTAATTGCTCCTCCTAGGTAGTAATTGTTTTGAATTGGGTTTTTCTAGATTACAATGCGGTTAGGCAATATTCTTATGGGCACACCTAGGTTTATTTGCTTAATTAGGGGTAGTTAACGGTCGTACCTTAATCACCTACACTGTAAGGAAAAATTGGTTGTCAAAGCTTGTTGATAACTATAACTAATTTATTGATACTTTAATAAGAATTAATTTTATTGAATCAATGATAAAACACAAGTGTCATAATTGCATCATCCCTTGAGCCAGGCATCCCCTTGATAGTCAGTTTCCTTTAATTTAATTGCTATGTTATTTTATTTTCATTAGATAATAAAAGAAAAATCCCCATTTATTTACTGCATAAGAATACGAAAAAGTGAATCACACAATCCCTGTGGAGACGATCCCTTCCCCTATATTACATTAAATTGTGATCACAGAGTAGGTGAAATATTTAATTGACCGCGCGACAGGTCAGCCATTATGACAATTGGATGTGAAGAATGCTTTTCCCCATGGCGACCTGGTCGAGGAAGTCTATATAGAGCAACCTCCAAGGTTTGTTGCTCAAGGGGAGTCGGGAAAAATGTGTCGTTTGTGAAAGTCACTATATGGCCTAAACAGAGTCCACGTGCATGATTTGGCAAGTTTAGCCACGCGAATTGAGAAATTTGGGATGATAAAGTGCAGATCAGAACGTTATGTGTTTTATCGTCATACCAATTCTAGCATTACTCTTCTCACAGTGTATATGGATGACATTATTATCATGGGTGGCGATACAAGTGGCGTCTTAGCTTTGAAAGAGTTTATCCACTCACAATTTCAAATTAAAGATCTTGGTGGGCTACGATATTTTCTAGGAATATAAGTATTCTAGAAAAAAGTGGTATATTCCTCTCTCAACGGAGATATATGACTGGAACAGGAAAGATTGGAGCTAAACCATCAAGCACATCTATGACATAAAATCAAATATTTACAAAGAAAGAAAAAACCTTGAGGAGCCTGAAAGATATTGGCGATTAGTAGGTAAATTGAATTATCTCACCATAACCCAACCAAATATAGCTTACCCAGTTAGTGTGGTAAGTTAGTTCATGAATGCTCCTACAATCCAACATTAGAAAGATTTTGTCGAAGAGTACTCCAACACAGAGGTTTTTGTACAAGAACTATGGGTATGACCACATTGAATGTTTTTCTAATGCTGATTGGGCAGACTTATAAGTTAGTCGCAGGTCAACCTCTGGGTACTATGTATTTATGGGTGGCAACTTGATTTCGTGGAAAAGTAAGAAACATAATGCGGTATCAAGATTCTAAAATTTGGAAGAAATAATATTTTTTCTTATATCTATTATGAGGTTACTAAACCTCTATATATACATGAGTCTACAGTCTATTTTAGGACAGCAAATTCTAAGGAAAACAAATCCTTGTAATTATGAGATTGATCCTAAATACATAAACCTAATAATGGAAACACACTGTTACAGAAATACAGCACAACAAATATAAAACTTTCTAAAATACACAAATACAATCACAATTTTGACAAAAATTAAGTGCAGAATCAGAGTATCGAGTGATGAGGCATTCAATGTTTCTTAAATCTGCAAAAGGAATTTGGGAGGCAGTAGAACAAACTTATTCTAAGGCCAAGGATGCTGGTCAAATTTATGATGTAAAGGTGAAAACCGTGGCTGCCAAACAGGGAAATAGATCAATTACAGAATATGCCAATCAACTCAAGTCCTTATGCACTCCATCGCTCGATACTCTGATTCTGAACTTGATCCTTGTAAAAATTGTGATTGTAGTTGTGTATTTTAGAAAGTTTTATATTTGTTGTGCTGTATTTCTATAACAGCGTATGTTTCCATTACTAGGTTTATGTATTTAGGATCAATCCCATAATCATAGGGATTTGTTTTCCTTAGAATTAGCTCACCTAAAATAGACTGTAGACTCATGTATATAGAGAGGTTTAGTAACCTCATAATTGATATAAGAAAGAATATTATTCTAAGTTTAGTAAATCCGTGGAGCCTAGAATGGGTTCTTTACTTTATTTCCTTACTTAGATGTGTCTTTAGTTTTTAAGTATTGTGGAGTGTTTTCATAACAGTTCAAATCTTAGTATATTCACTTTTTCTTATAATGTGAGAAACCACAACCGCTACTCGTCGAGTGCGCTCTGGCTAAACCCCTGGGCGAACCTAATACCCTGCAAACTAGGCTTGACAAGGCAAGTTCCACTAGGTGAACCATGTGTGGCAGGTGGACCTGGAGGCATTGGAGGTTTGAACCTATGACCTTAGGGTCACAAGTTTACCTACACCACCTACACCACCAGGCCATCCCGTAAGGGACTTAGTATATTCACTTATGCTAACATATAGAGTGTGTCATGAAAACGAGTAAAGTTCACGTGGAAACAAAGTAGTGAGTCTGAAGAGTTGACTTCTCCTCTATTATAATGGAGTTGTGGATTGAGTAATAATGAATACTTAAAAGAAATTTTATGTACAACATTTATACAATGATTTATGTAGGAGGCGTTATAGCATTCACGATTAGAGGAAAATAATGAAGGTATGTTTCTATTCAATTATGAAAATTAGCAAAGCATGGTGACAAATATTGTATGGTGATCAATCAATATTTTATTTTACTATCTAATTCATGACCATTAGTCAAAAGGCCCAATTCCAATCATAACTTCACCGAACTTTTTGTTGAAATGTTTTTTCATTTACAAGCTATAAAATTACTTTCAAAATCCAAATATTACTCAACTGCAATATATAATCATCTTGACACAATTTTGGGATATAGAAAAAGAAAATAACTATAATAAATATCGGTGTCAAGAAGGAAGGATTAAACAGGTAATAGTAGAGGAGACTATAAAATACCTGCAGTTGTAGTTTATCTACTTCACTCGTCATAAGTGAGCCTAATTGTCCATTAAGAATCTCCAATGCATCTCCAAATTTTTGTTGCTCTTCCAACAGTTTCAGGTAAACCTTAAGAGCTGCACTAAACAATATCAGTTACAGAAACTAAAATAGTTCCCCAAAATATGTTGTTAAAATGGATTTAGATAGAATGAACCTACAAACTAGTGGCAGTAGCAGTAGTTGCAGTACAATACCTTCTAGCTCATGCAAACCATAAGAAGAAATATGTTTTTTAAGTAGCCCTTCTGCCATGCGGAAAAGGTTCTCCTCACCATTGCCACATGAAATCTTAGATCAAATTCCAAATAATTCATGTAAGATATAGCAACATAATCCAAGCATCATAGTGAACGAACATTTAATGGATTTGTTGTTTTTCATCATTTTCACAGTAACTAGCCAAATTAAAGGGTAAGCAAGATTTTATTTTTAGTTGCAAAATCTAAGTTTATTTTTCTATAATCGTAATTCGTAACATAATGACTTCTAAAACTATCTAATTTTGTGGAGCAATTGTAAGTTATCAATGTTTCAAATCAAAATTTTTACATTTTATAGGTTATGCTTTGTTATTTTGGAACCCATATAGTTTTCCTTTTCAGTTGGACTGAAGCATTACAATCAAAGAAACTTAATAGAGGAGGAAACCTACGCTGAGAACTAGTATTTAATTAGTTTTACTTCCTTTTTTCATAGCTAATTAATATTCTGCAATTTAGCTAACTATTGGTTCAGCAATAATATTCAAGTGAATGTTGTTGTTATTGGAAACTACATGCTATCAGAGCTACTCGTTCCCTTTGTTTTACCCTATTTTTTGTCTTCGATCCTTTTCAATATGGCCTCTTCCTCCAACTCCACATCCACCAATCATCCTACTTTCTCTTCTCCTACTTTGGATACTTCACATTTCCCAATCCAAATTATTGTACATCGGTTGAATTGAAGAAATTTCCTTGACGGGTCTCAATCTATCAAATTAGCTATCGACCATCATGGAATGATAGAATATTTGACCAATGTTGTCATGGCGAGGTTCTGGGCACGGCGCTATTAGGCCGCCATATCGCTTAGGCGACACAACGCCCATCAAAGCGACAATATGCTAGTTCAATTTTTATTTGTTTTGTTCTGTTTACCTTCGTAAATCAACATAGAAAGGGAGAAATCACCATTTAATATTGATTGGATAGCATATTTTCTTATATAAGAATAAAATGGTATAGTTTATTTGTCGGTATTTTGGAGGATTAAAAGCATGACTCTTGTTTTCCAAATGGTTGTCTTTGCATTAATTCACACATAGATTGCTTTGCGCTAAGTGAAAACAAACTATTTCAATGGTGACCCTCCATGGATTCACTCACCTATATAAGCCGACGGCGACGTGCCTATCATAAATTTTTAATATTTAATTATACAATATAAAATTATAACCTTAAATCACTAATTTTGATTAAATTTGAAGAATATCGCTGTTTTTTTATTATTTTCGTCAAAAGAAAAAGAATAATTTTACAATAGACAAAACCCTAATATATTAAAACTATACAAAATACCTAAACTGCCCTCATACTATTATAAATACAAAAATACCCCTATACGTAATATATCTAAAACTCCCCCTCAAACTGAAGAATACAAATCGTATGATCCAAGTTTGTCACATAAAAATTTAATTCGAGGGCCTCTCAGAGATTTGGTAAGAATGTCTGCAAGTTGCTCATTCGAAGCAACATGGTGAGTGGCGATGCATCCAGATAATACCTTCCCCCGAATAAAATGACAATCAATCTCTATAGATTTAGTCCTCACATGAAACACCGGATTAGACGCAATATGCAAGGCAGCTTGATTGTCACAAAAGAGTTTCATTTATGAAACTTCCACTATCTTGAGCTCATGAAAAAGCTATTTTACCTAAATAAGTTCACGTCGGTAATGCCATGGCTCGATATTCTGCCTCTGCACTTGAGCGAGCAACAACATTCTGTTTCTTACTTTTCCATGAGATAAGGTTACCTCCCAAAATATGCAATATCCCGAAGTAGAACATCTATCAACTGGGGTTCCTACCCAATCAGCATCTGAGTAGTCAATTACTTAAGTGTGACCTTGATTGGTGTACAATAATCCTCTACCAGGAGACCCTTTGATGTACTTCAAAATTCGAATGGCAGCGTCTAAGTGACTATCGCACGAAGACTGAAGAAATTGACTCACAACACTTACAGCAAAAGAGATATCAGGTCGAGTAAGTGTGAGATAGTTAAGCTTACCAACCATTCTATGATATCTTTCTGCGTCAGCTAATGGCTCCCCCGGTCCTGGGAGAAGTTTCAAATTTGGATCCACGGGAGAGTACTAGCTTGCAGACAGACAAACCAGTTTCTTAAAAAATATATAATGCGTACTTCCGTTATGAAAGAACAATACCATCACGTGATTGAGCAATCTCAATACCAAGAAAGTACTTCAATGGTTCCATATCCTTAGTTTGAAAATGCTTAAATAGATGTTGCTTTAACTGAGTGGCCTTTTCTTGTATCATTTCCGGTGATAACAATATCATCAACGTACACAAAAAGGTATAAACACTTACCACTTGATGTGTGCTTATAAAAGACAGAATGGTCTAATGCGTTTCGGATCATGCCAAACTCCTGTATAACACTGCTAAATCGACCAAACCAAGCACGCGGAGATTGTTTCAATCCGTAAAGCAAATGACGTAGTTTGCAAACAAAAACAGACTCCCCCTGAGCAACAAATCCAAGTGGTTGCTCTATATAAATTTTCTCCTAAAGTTCGCCATGTAGAAATGCATTATTAATATCAAGCTGATGAAGAGGCCAGGAATGCATAGCAGCCAAAGCAATAAAAAGATGGATCGAAGACATTTTGGCAACAGGTGAGAAGGTTTCAGTATAATCCTCACCAAAGACCTGTGTGAAGCCCTTAGCCACCAAATGGGCCTTGAGACGAGCAACTTGACCATCTGAATCAACCTTAACTGCATAAACCCAACAACAAGCCACGAGAGACTTACCTAAAGGCAAAGGTACCAAGTCCCAAGTACCATTAGCATGCAAAGCAACCATTTCATCTACCATTGTCTGTCGCCAACCTGGGTGAGAAAGAGCTTCATGAAAGGATTTAGGAAGGGAGATGGAAGATAAGTTTGACACAAAGGTATAATATGTGGGAGACAAACGATGAAAACTAAGAAAATTGTAAATGGGATGAGGATTACAAGAAGAACGAGTACCTCGTTGTAACGGTGCAGGATCCGGCAGGATAGGAGCCATAAGAGAAGAAGACAATGGCAAGTCTTGAGAGCCAGAACACTCGATAGACGCTGGAGAAAGATAAGCGGTAGAACTATCAGAAGGGGGCACTTGCGGGCGAGGACGATGACTATAAACTTGAAGAGGTGACGCGAAAGAAGAGGAAAAGAGAAAGGAATAGGTAACACGTGGCTGACAGATGGGATCAAAGATGACGGAGAGAAATAATTTGTGGACTCAAAAAAGGTAACATCAACTGAAAAGTAATACCTACGAGTATCAAGAGAGAAACACTTATAACCCTTTTGAACCCTAGAATAGCCAAGGAAAACACACTTCAACGCACGTGGAGCTAACTTATCCCGACCCAAGAAGTGATCATGCACAAATGCAGTACACCCAAAGACACAAAGGGGTAAATGATGTAAAGGATCGTGAGGGAACAATATCTGGTGGGGAATTTTATTCTGGAGAACCGAAGACGGCATGCGGTTGATAAGATAGCAAGCAATATGAACAACATCAGCCCAAAACCGGAATGAAACATGATGATGCACCAGCAAAGTACGAGCAGTCTCAATTAGGTGGCGATTTTTTGCGTACAGCCAACCCATTTTGCTGAGTATAGGCACAAGAGGATTGATGTAAAATACCATGAGATAACATAAACTCAGTCATAGGAGTAGAGATGTATTCAGTAGCATTATCCGTCCGAAGTATTATAAGGGAGACACCAAACTGATTTTGAATTTCAGCATAAAATGTTTCAAAGACAGAAAATAGTTCGGAACGAGCTTTCATCAAATAAAGCCAAGTACATCTTGAGAAATCATAAAGAAAGGTAACAAAGTACTAAAACCCAAATACATAAGTATTTCGGCACAGACCCCATATATAAAGTGGACTAAAGCAAAAGGCATATCAACTCTATTATTAACCTGCCGGGGAAACAAAACGCGAGTTTGTTTTCCTAGCTAACACGACTCACAGAACAATAACGATAAATTAGAAAGACTTGGAACAAGCCAACGCAACTTAGAGAGACTCGGATGACCCAGCCGTTGGTGTAGAAGTTGAGGAGAACTGGCAGTGGAACATGCAATTGGGAGTGAAGGTGGTGGAGGGTGGTCAAGGTGGTACAGTCCGTGGAGCTCAAGTCCTTTGCCAATCGTCCTTCCAGTTCTGCGGTCCTTAATAGAGAATGAATTAGAGTTAAATGTTATTGAGCAGTTCAAAGTTTTGGTTAATTGACTAACAGAAACAAGATTATATGGACAATGAGGAACAAAAAAACGGAGGATAAGGGAACACATGGCAATAGTTGAGCATCACCGACAACCTTAACAGAAACTCGTGACCCATCAGCTAAAGTAACATCAGGTAATGGGGTAGACTTATGAAATTCGAAAAACAATTTTGGATTACCATATAGGTGATAAAAGCGCCAGAATCAAGGACCCATGGTCCAAGAGAGGTACCAGTGTAAGCGACAGAGGCAACGGGTGAATGAGATGACTGCTTTGAAGCTTGGTATGCAAGATACTCCTCATAGTTTGAACCAGTCAAAGTGACAGAAGTACCCGATAACTGAGGAGTTTCAACCTGCGCAACAACAGCCCAAGGTGGCTGGCCATGCAATTTAAAACATTTATCACGAGTATGGCCTTACCTGTTGCAATAAGTGCAGCGTGGACGAGAGGTCCCATGAGGACTAAGATGAACTCGCATATGCAAAGAGGGTGAAACTAGTAGAGCAGACTTGTCTTCAGAATCAATAATCGGATGTGCCACAGAAGAGACACGTAATAAATGAAAATAAACATCATCAAGATTCGGAACTGTTGAGCTGGAAAGAAGTTGATCACGAACCGGACTCAAATCTGGACCGAGACCAACTAGTGCACACACCATATAGAATGTATCATGCTGAGCAAGCTCATCCGTAGCCGTTTTCCCTAGGGGTAAAACTGAATTGAGTTCAGCTTTGATAGATGAAAGTTT